GCACCCTGGGAGAGGGATGGACGGCTCTGCCCGGTGCCTTTTTGCTTCCTTTATAAGGAAGGAGAAAGCATCAGGCCTCCAAAACAACCCCAGAAAGCCCGGGGGGTGGCCAGGCTCTCCAGTGGCTACTGGCCCTACACTTTGGGACTGCAAAGATGTTTAACTATTTATCACTCATTTCTGTGATTCTTCAGAGACCAGCGTGGGACCTGCCCTAACCTTCCCTGGAAGCAGCGTGGCGAGAAGCTCGGGCTGGCGGCCCCGGGCAGGTGCCAGAGAGGGAGCCTGCAGGAAAACCAGCGTCCCCATCGCCCCGTTCGACGTTTCGGGAATGGTGCGCTCAGTGGTTTTGTTCCAGCCCTCAGGTGAGCCAGGACAGCTCACAAAAGGCTTAGTGGCCCAAAGGCAACATCTCACGCCAAGAGCTGCTGCGAGGTGCCCGGGACAGCGCAGGGTAACTGCCAGGCAAGCACCCCGTGCCGCCGCAGCAGCGGAGAAGCACCAGGACACACGGACGCGGGTCTGTGCCGGACCAAACAGCGCAGCCCTGACCCAGGGAACCCACAGCGAGAGCTCGTCACCTCCCTGGGGAGCTTAGCGACGGCCAGCGTGTGGCTCGGCTCCCCTGGCTGGAGGGGCACAGACAAAGCCCACCCTGTACCCTGGGTTTCCCGAAGCTTTCCCGATTCCCCAGAGCTCGCTGTGCGCGTCACCTCCGCGGGACACAGGACGCTCCTGCGCTGCTGCCCAGCTCTTCTAATCCTAACAACTGAGAAGTCACATTCTTTATCCCCAGTCTGCACAGAAATAAGAGCTGTCTCTAACACTCGCAGGACCCTGCGCTGCATTTTAACCGCACGGCTTTATCGCGGCAACCTCCCCGGTCCCGCTCGCAGGGTGTCAGCAGAGCCGCTGCACAGGGGGACCCACGCCCCAGGTGGGAAGGAGCACATCAAGCAACCGGAGGACCCTTGCACGGCAGGAGCATCGCGTCTCCCTTTAAAAGCTGCATTTCCATGTTTTCATTCCCCGCACCGTCGAGATGCAACGTGATTTCCTTAAATACAAGCTGGTGCACTGTTACCATAGCTGCTGCATAGCACAGGGTGCACAATTTTACTACATCCGTCTGCTATTTCCCTGGAAAACATCTCTATTGGCTGGTAATTTCAACCAAAGGCACTAGAAAATATTAAAAATTGACAACTGCAAAGTTACTAGATAAGAATCTTTAAAATTTATTGGACTAATCGTGTTACATTCAATATTTGATGTGTTTCTCCTGGACAAAGAATTGGCATAAATACAAACAAGCCTTTGTGTGCCTTCCCTAAACAAATAAGAGATAAAGTACTAGAGACAAGGGAACATAGTTCACATCTTCATATTTACATTTTGCCTTTACTTTACAACTTAGCGCCAGGAATATTTACAGAAAAATACAGTAAGAACAAAAAGATCATGTCTTGGCAACATACAGAAATTCATACAAATTGTGTATGATTTGAAGCACATGATACCTGGCATTCTCATTTCTAATTGCTCCTGCTAAAATCGATGTGGAAAAGGTCTGTGTTTGCCTTCAAAGACATCACTCAACTACGCAATCATTAAATCACATCAAATTTGTCTGTTAGATTGAAATTTAGTTCTCTTGTCTTTCTGGGCATGCAGAACCTCGCAGGAAAGAAATGCAGTCACCTACGGAGAACCCAGCACATACAGCCAGCCAAGCAGCAAGGGGCTGCTCTTCCCTATGGCCTCGTCCACACGTTGCTACCCACATAGACACCTTAATTTCCACACACTGTCCTTCCCCTCTCCTCTCCTGTTGCTGTAAGGTTGCAATGCCTTTTTCTGCACTTTTTTTAAAGTACCTTTAAGAAAAAAGCTTTTCTTTTAAAGAGAGTCTTTATTAAGGTACTAATATTTCTGTAATTTCAACGCTTTGTTTAACAAGGTGGCAGTGGTCCCCCCTCCTTCTGCACCATTAAACAGATGCCATCATTTAAAGCAGAATTATGAACCCAAACAGAAAGGTCTTAAGAAAAGAGAAAGTCTCAGTTTAGTTATTATGCAACATTTGCAACGCAGCTTGTGCAGCACTATGTTACCTGTGGAGTCTAGACTAACGTCACGCTACGCACAAAGCGCGTGGTCAATACTCGTCACCTCTGATGAACAGGGACGTGAACCCAAGCCACACAAGCTGGCAAGCTGAAAACTCAATACAGCAGTTTGCGATGAAAAAAAAAAAAAAAAAGTCTGGATTCTTGACTAACATCTTGTTGCAATCACAACTGAAATAAATCTCATTTGCTCTAACCCTTTCTTGGGGAAAAAAGCTCAAGGCTGTACCCTGGACAAGCCAGAGTCCCACTGGAGTTTGGCCACTGAATCTGACAGGACAAGGATTTCGTTCCCAAATTGGTGTTTTACATTTTATTATGAAGTCGGAGACCTTTCTGCACACAGGGGAAGGAAGGACACTCCTTGCAGACACCTTCCACCAGCGCAGGTCTGCCACGGGCACTCGCTGCTGCAACCAGCATCCAAACCAAGTGGGATGGCAACACATTTCTGTGATTGCTAAACTGCGACTTTCTTGAAGGTTCACCTTTCCAGATAGCAAAACCCAACACTTACAGCCAGGTCATACCGCTAGCGTGTAAGGTGTTAACCAGCTGGCTCTACAAATCAAATTAAGCACGTTACAAACGCCTACTCCTCCGGCGGTGGGATTGGCAGCAACGGTGCACGCAAAAGTTACCTTCTTTCAAGACTTCTGAAAAGTTACATTGCTTTCACAGTTCTTACTGCTCATGTTTTAGACGAACATGGAAACAGACCCAAGACTACTGTTCAGCCAAGCACAGGCCTTTTTTTAAAAAGAGTAAGTTTTCAGGCAGCCCATTTGGCTATCTTGGACTTTGCAGAAAAGATCCAGGGTTTCCCCAAATGCACAGGTCTTTACGTTACTGACTGTACCCAAATGCCTGAAAGAAGTATCTTTTGCAGCTCATTACTATATAAACCAATGACTTTGCATGTAACATACACTTAGCTACGGTATGTGGGTTTTGTCGTTACGTTATTGAAGATGTGCAGACATTTGATTGCTCAGTATGTTTATTTGTTGCACATGCATTGGTCATGCCTTTTAAATGAGTGGATTAAAGTGTGTTTGGCCATTAATTCGATCCAATAGGTACATACAAAATGTGGGTAAATTTAGTGTCCGTGCATTAAACTGACACTGGCAAGAGTTTGGCAGAGGAGTGAAGCTGTCCAAGTTTCCCTTCACAGCTCTGCCAATGCACCCAGACACTGCTTTGCAGCTCCTCCTGCCTTGTGCAACCCGGGCACCACGCAAGCGTGGGCCAGCCGTCATGCTTACTTCTACTGTAGTTTTCTTTGTGTGGTTTCATTTTTCCACTTGTGATTCATCTGGATCAACAAAATCCAGAGCTCCTGAGTTGAGCGGCTAGTGTGCTTGTCCCCTGCAACAAGCACACGCCACCTAAAACCCCTCTGGTTGACATCCTGAAAGTCCTTTCGCATGTATTTTGAGAGGCCTGTGTTTCCATTATCTCCTTGTGAAAAGCCACATGAAAAGACAGGAGCAGGGCAGGTCCTTGGCAGGTAAGTTGTAAGGAAACAATTAAGGCTGTTTCAGATCAGAACTGTTGCAAAAAGTATCTCTGAAATATCAAAATTAAATGATTGACAGGTATTACTGCAATGCATATTAAAAGGCTAATAAAACCATTTTTGGAATAACATGAGGAGCTCCCCAAATTCCTGCTCACACTCACAGTCTTACTTTACCTGCTGCCTGGAAGGAAAAGGACACATGCTGCTGCCAGCGATCACACACAGCATCTACCCGGGAGCGCCAGCGATGATTCATTACTGCAACACAAGTTACGACTGCGCTGGGAGCCTGAAAGCTCTCCCAAGGCTGCCAGCACCCACTGCAGCTTTTATATTCCAAATATTACATTTGTAGTTGTAAACATCTTTTCCCAGCACATCCTTCAAATCCTGAATATGTGAAATCCACAGTCTGAAAATGAAAACTCCTGACCTGGGTGAAAGGGAACCACCGCAGCTCAGCATGAGAAAGCACAGTGGATTCAAAACAATTTTAAGTTATAACTCCAAAGGGGCTTTCATAGAATGGCAAGTTAATGGGGAAAAAGAAGGATTCTTGAATTTTCTTTTCAAGTTGTTTTACTCTGTTTAACAGGAGCTTCTGAAAAGTGTTGTAGAAGCTGCGAAAATTGCTTATGCTATAAATATCAGGCAGGAGGCAGCCCCAGAATCTCAGATTTCAATCCAGTGGAAGGCAAGCAAGTGGTGTTCACGCTTTTTACGGAAAGTAGGTGATACAGACACTTCAAAATAAATTAAGCAGTTGCATTTAAAAAAAAAAAAGTAAAAAAAAATTAAAATCAAACTACTAAAATTAAATGTGACATTTTGCAACAGACCTGAAAGTCATAACCTTGTTTTTATATAACCAAGAGCTCTTATCTAGTAACAACTTATGTTGGAAAGTCAGGTAATTTCAGGTGGTGCTTGCTGTTAGCATGACAGAAATCTCACCCGTAGATGGCGTCACTCCCGACCACGGAGGGCACTGTAAAATACACCACTTTGGCTATGAATTTCATGACCTGATGTTTCCAAGCAATTTTCCTCCTCTTGCTTTTGGTACACAAATCGGTTACAAGCAGTGAAGGATCCTCTGTTGATCTCTGAAGGGGGGCTGAAAATGTCTTAAGGACTTGCAGGGATAGTTAATGCCCTGAAACAGACCCTCTCCTCAACAGAGAGATCCTGCTCCCTCCTCCTTTTAACACGTGGGGGTAGTGAGCTGTCTGAAGGCAGGTTTGTTTGTATTTTGTTTTCCATCCTTATATGCAGAGATGGCTTTGTTTTGATTGTTTTCCTCTCACAGAATGAGACACAGATCCTAATTAGTCTGGAATAGATGACTGGGTGAAGAGATTATGCTAGCATCCAGGAAGACTGGAAGTAAGTAATCTTTTGAGGGTGGATGAATTAAGTGAATATCCCAACTGCAGTGTTTTGGATTCATTTCTCATTCCTCCCACACGGTATCTGCTGACTTGTGCTAGAATATGATTTCCTGAATTCCGGAGGGCTGAGGAAATTTGTTGCTGTTATTTAAATGTTTTCATTACTGTAGCCACCAAGCTCTGATCTAATTGTCCTGGAAGGATAATGACCTAGGGGTTGCAGTTCTTGAGCCCAACCTCCTGGAAAAGTGAGGTATAAAATTCTGGCTCCAGCTGCCTGTTCCGGTATTTATTGACAATGTCTGCTATTTTCTGTTTTCGGCGGACATGTGGAGGGTTGTATGAATCACTTTCCAGCCTCTTTCTCCGACAAAGGTTTATTACCGTCTGCCTCACTAAAAAACCTGAAAAAGAAACAAACATTTGAATCAAGTTTAAACAAATTCAAGTCTGCATCCCTTTGCTGCCTTTGCAGCTAAAGATAATTTTGGGTTCTGTCCCATCTAGAAATCCAGGGAAGATGCTCAGCACCACCAAGGCAAGAACTTTTCTCAATAAGTAGTTGATAACAGATAACCACGGGCCCCAGGCCTGTAAGGACATTCTACTGTGAAAAATGAGTGAGAAAGGGACTAAGTCAGTAGTACCTTAAACTGGCTAGAGGAGGAGGAATATTTCCCTGCTTTGCTAGAGCCAAACAACTGCCCACAACAGCACCCTCGGGACCAAGAGGTGAAAGAATCCAGGGCAGCTAATACAAGAACTGCAGAGCTACGGCCCCTGGCCATGCCTTATGAGGACGTGCAGAGCTTGGGTGGGCCCTGGGTAACGCCGGGGGGCCTTCAGGATGAAAAAAGCACCCATCAGTACTTTCTTCCAGTAGGAATTGCAGAGTCTTCCCCTTGGAACAGGGGATAAGGAAAGACTTGATGGGTTGTGGCTGGAAACAGGTTTCTCCTCCCCTCACTGCTTTGCCACTGTTGTTACCTCTCTGTAACTCAATCTGCTGTATATGGCAGGGAGGAGAAGGTTGGGAACCAAAGCAGTAACATTTGGTCATAGCTGGCAGTGGACTTTATCTTATTTTGTTCTGAAATGAAATTCATATGCCTCTAATGAAGTAAGTGTCCGTTAACCCCCTTGGCTGTTTCACAAGAACTTTCTTACAGACAGAAACAGTGTCTTCCTTATCTAGCCGACTTGATTCCTGACTGCACATAAACCACATCTGCTGAACTTAGAGACAAGACAAAATTAATAGTCCTGATGCAGCTGAAAAAACAGCCCAACTCTAGGAAAACACTCCTGATTCTTTTTCAGTACAAGCCTTTGTCATCAGCTGAATTCACACATGTTACTTAAAGGCCCAGCCTGGCTTCAGTTTCCCCATCACTGAATTAAGCATGCAAAAACCAGAATCTGCAAGTCACCCCCAGAAGAGTCCTACAATGTCAGTTTTATGGTTATCTACAAGTATCCTAATGTTCATTTATTCATTTTGCTCTGTCTTGTGAATTGCTCTCACTGGAGTGAGATATCCAGTTACTGAAACTATAGTACCAGATACCAAGACAGATCCATTAATACATCCAGGAACAGAGGAAAAGGCAGACAGCACAAACGGACCCTGTTAACACATGCCTGCATAGGAGGTTAAGTGTTTTTTATTGAGCACATTAGAAAAATCCTCAGTTGCTGTGGCTTTTAAATTGCTATCCGGCTTCTAAACCAAAAGGAAGAAACCCAATATAGTCCAAATATTCAGCAGTACCCTCCGGCAATCAACTAGCACCAGCATTTTGGCTCCCATGCTAAACATCAGGGTCACATTTCTGATCTCTCTTAACTAAGTAACAGGCCTTGACCTTTTCCTTCCACCATTACTAGCTCCAACCTTTCATTTCTCTCCTACTACAATGGCAGTGGAGCCCCGCTATGCCGTCAGCTAAGGGCTGACCGCCTGCTCCCTCTGCTGTTCCTGCTACCACTACTGCTGAAAAAAGCATGTTTTTATTTTGTTCTGCCATGCCTAATGCGTTTTCCAATGAAAGATTCCAGACCATGTATTTTGCAGATACATTATTAAAAAAAACATCAAAACATGAGTGTTCCTAAAAATCTTTATCTTACCAAGAGCTCTCCTACTGACTATCATTCCATCCACCAATGGGATAACCATATTGAATTTCCCAGTTGCTCCTTGTAGTTTTATCCTGAATAAGCCAGTGTTTAAAGGATGGATGAAGATCACAGGAACTTCCTTCTCAGGAATGGTAGATCTTAAGGGGAAAAACCACAACTGTTAAATCAGTTTTCTAGCACTGTTTCAATTAAACTATAGATGAAAAATGACCACTTTAAGTGTTAAAAGAATGTTAAAAAATGTCTTGTGGCTAAGCCAGCAGGACTCTTATGTGCATCCTCTGGCCTTTAGAAGGGTTACATCAGCTGTACTGTTTCTATGATCTTCTGTCACCACAGAATTTGGGACTCCTGCAGACAGGGCTTTAAGCCTCACAATACGTATGCAGCATTAACTGCCTCACAAGGGAGTAAATCAGGAGGGAGGCTAATCACAGGCTCAAGATAAAAACTACACATTTTCTGACCCTTAATTTACATAACTGCAGTGATATGAAAAGGTCTTTCATTTTTTCAGCAAAAAAAAAAAAAAAAAAAAATCCACTGAGGAAACTCATCTTTTTTAACATGACAGCCTAGAGTTTTCAGGGTTGTGTGTGAAAGCTGAAGAATGCAAATAATCTCAGTCATGACTTCTAAAGCGCAAGCCTCAACTGTTGTCCACAAGAATCAAGAAATAAGAGCAGTCTTACCTTAGGGAAGTGCTACTATTGGCTGTAGTTTCCACACCAGTGCTAGTCTCAGACACCAGATCAGGGAGGGGGAAGTTTTCTGTAAGAAGAGGATGCACTGAATAAAGTTTGTCTACCCCAGGTTTTTGTTTTGTTTTTGTACAAAGAAAGATTATTTCATTATTATTTCATTCTTACAGAAAGAAGAAAACAAAAAATTGCAGAGGTACCATCAAATTAAGAAGGATTATGATCCCTTCAGCACAGAAGTAGTAGGTATGAGGACTAAATTTTTTTCTTTAAGGGAGATCAACAGATCCACTCTGAGGAGACAGCAGCTAAGGGGAACTCAAAAACAGGGCTGCACACTTGCCTTTGTGTGTTAAGCTTAAGAAGGTGGTGCATGACGGCATTTCACATGTACTGCCAGAGCTAAAATAATCTCCAGGCCCACATGCCACTGATTCATGTACACCCCATGGACCACCACTCAAATATCAAAGAACTGTTTTAGAATCTTAAAAGTGTCAGTTACAGACATTGATAAGGATTTAGCATTTTACACAGGAACAGAACAGAGTTTTTCCTCTGGTTCCTGCCCTGTTGCTACTTTAGCGAACAATAAAAACTTCTACACACCTATATCATCATAACGTTCCACCCAGACCACATACACTTTGGTTTCAGGTCCCATTGGTGGAATGGTCCGGCCCTGAGGCACCCTCTTGGATCTGGAAGTAGGACTGAGCTGTTTTGAACACAAGGGAAGAGTAGCATTTGCAAACATCATGAGTCCAGTAGTGCATCCAACAAGCATTTCCACAGTTGCTCTTTAGCCTTTCAGATCTCAGACAGGTACAACACCTCTGCCAACTGTTGAGATGGGGCAGCTGCGGTGGAACTACCCTGAGAAAGAGTAATCTGTGTCTCCACAATATTTATATTCAACAAAAATTAATATATTGAATCTTAAAAAACTGGTTCAAGTTTTTCTTAATGTTCTCAAAGATCTTAAATCAGTGACTAAATATACATTTGGAAGTGAATTCTATACCAGAAATAAGCAGTTGTAAATCCTTTGCTAACTGTTACAGCAGTTCATGGTTTTCTGCTTTGCTACCATACAAAAGCAACTTCATATCTGATACTTCAGACACACCTGACACATACTATTTTAAACTGGGTAGGTACAAAAAGTGTTCATGTCTACCCATCCTAAATTTCCAAGCATGGATTAGAGTCTGAATTACTTTGTAAATACTACATATACTTTTTTCTGCATGTATTTCAAGATTTCAGTATGCAGAGTATTACTACTTAGCATGTTTAAGTTTTATATTTAATTAATGTAATCTTGCAATCTCCTACTGCAGGTGCAAATTCTGGCAGGACCAAAGCAGATGTTAAAGATTAATGGCTAGGAACAAGTAGCTCCAAATGCTAGGAAACCAAATAATACATTATCAAACAATGCTGTAGCATTGCCAGAGGGCTTCTTACGGGGGGCGGGGGGGGGGAAGAAAGCCATTTTTCAATGTAAGTTTTGCCTTACCCGCTGGGAGGGATTAAGATTGTCTGTATGATTGGGGAAGAGTTCAAGTGTCAGAGACTGCTGCTTCAATATTCCTGGCAGTAGATCCATGTTGGAGTCACTTTCTTGGTCAGAGACATTGCTTTCCAGTGAATCAGCTGTAAGCGAGAAGAAGAAAGGTGGGTTTTGTCTTTTCTTCTGCCAAAAAAACTTAAGCTGTCACCATATGTAAGGTTTGAAACTAAAAAAGGTTGTAAGGTTTTTGAAACTAAACATACATAGATTTACCGTGAAGTCAATATAGCACTCAAAAGCACGAAAAGGGTTCAGAGCAGTGGACAACTGCCAGTTACTCCAGAAACAGACTGCACTTAAAGCGCTCCCTGTGGATTTAGAAGTGTCTGTTTTCTATGGAATACAGTACCCTCCTTCCTCTGGCTATCATTTCCTCACAGCCCTTTTATTTCAGGGAACTTTTGCACACTGCTCAGTGTGCAAAAGATGTTGTGAAACCTGTTGCTCACCTACATAGCAGTCGTGCACATGCTCTTCCATGTGCTGCAGGAGCATGTCATCAAGACAGGAGGAAAAAAAAAAAAAGCGTCACCATACATCCAACCTAACGCACCCAGAGTTACAGCAAAACTGCTGCGCAAACCTGGACATACATTGAGGCTTAGACTGAGAAAAAGGGGCATAGAACAGATACCACCTTAGGAAGGGGTCTAAGGATTAGGATGCAGTTTAAACATCAGCAGCTTTCTGACAAGGGTCTTGCTAGACACGTTACTAATTAGCTTATTTAGGTTCTGCTTCTGAAAAAGCTCTCTAACAAAAAATGTTGGTTTGGTTTTTGTAGACAGCATGTACAAAGCGATCTTACTTAGGGACTCCACTGGTGATGGGACAACAAAAGCTATTTCTGTCAGGGCATCTGCATAATACAGCACCTTCTTCTGCCCGTTGAAGATACTTGCCCCAACATCTTCTGAAATAATTAGGTCATCTGAAATGGACATAAAAGGAAAGTTTAGTCAAAAGGAAGCTCTACCTTCAAATACAAGGTGCAATCAATGAGAAGGAATCACACAAATTTCATTTTAAAACGAGAAGATTTCACAGTCAAATCCCACAGCTAAAAACCATTCTCAGATAAACTTTTTTGTTATCTTGAAGGAAATGGCATTTTGGGTTGGGAGAGGATTTATTTTAAATGTATTTCCATTGTGAACATATTTCCATTGTACTGCATACCCTATTTCCCTCATATTGAGCAGTCTAGCAAGCACATCTGCCACGAGAATTTATCTAGTAGCTATTTCTAATCAGTCCCTCCAACAGACATCATTCAGATAGTCATTAAATTTCCAAAGGATTCTAACATTCATAACGTCAGTCTGATACTATTCTGGAATTCAAGACAGTTTCTACAGACTCTCCTCTATGTCTCTTCTTCTGCCAAGGAGAGTTAGGAAAAAAGCTCGCTTGAATCACACCCAATACAAGAAAGCTCCTCGTTCTCAGCCCCCATTTATTCTCTCATCACAGCTGGCCAGTAGGAAGAAAAAACAGTTCTTTGGCGGAGCCGTGCTCTAAGTAAATTATAACCCTCACCCGCTACTCTTCCTTCCCCGTACCACCTCCAGAAAGACTAACAAGGGCTTTAAGCTGAATTATTTCTCTGATGCAGTTTACAGAAGGGTTCCTGGGGTAGCTGCTTCAGCAAAACCAACGGAGCAGTGAAATTCAGCATGCTGACAGAGAGGCAGCCAGAGGCATGCAGGAGCCTCCAAGCCATGCTTCACCGTCAGGGAAGCGTTCCTGCATCTCCAGTCCGTAGTTCTCAGGAAGCAGCACCACAAGCTGAACCCAATTGTTTAAGAACTTCTTTGCTTTTGGGGGTGTGAAAGGAAACAAAACCAAAGCATATGCCTGTGAAGTTATTTTAATCACATCTCACCAGAAGCTATTCTAGAATCATAGAATCATTTAGGTTGGAAAAGACCTTTAAGATCATCAAGTCCAACCATCAACCCAACACTGTCAAGTCCTCTACTAAACCATGTCCCTAAGTGCCACATCTACATGTCTTTTAAGGACCTCCAGTGGTGATGATTCAACCACCCCCCTGGGCAGTCTGTTCCAATACCTGACCACTCTCTCAGTGAAGAAATTTTTCCTAATATCCAATCTAAACCTCCCCTGGCGCAACTTGAGGCCATTTCCTCTCGTCCTATCGCTGGTTACTTGGGAGAAGAGACCAACACCCCCCTCACCACAACCCCCTTTCAGGTAGTTGTAGAGAGCGATGAGGGCTCCCCTCAGCCTCCTCTTCTCCAGACTAAACAACCCCAGTTCCCTCAGCCGCTCCTCATCAGACTTGTGCTCAGACTCCTCACCAGCTTCGCTGCCCTTCTCTGGACACGCTCCAGCACCTCAACGTCCTTCTTGTAGTGAGGGGCCCAAAACTGAACACCAGTGCCAAGTACAGGGGCACGATCACTTCCCTACTCCTGCTGGCCACACTGTTTCTGATACAAGCCAGGATGCTAGACTCCTGAATGGGTTTTTAATCATCAGAGCCATCCACAAAGAGAAAATACATTTAACAAAATAAATAGCTTTAGTCACAGCAAAGATTGGAAGAGAAAACAAAGCAAGCAATTTTCACAAGTTGGTCCAAACCTACTTTAAATCTACCATTTCAGTTTTTTAGCGATTGCTTGCTAGAGTTAAGACTCCACTCATGGATTTTTCCTACAGCAGAACCAGATTAGAAGTGGCCTTCTCTCCCACCCCTGAATGCTGTTTCCGTTCCTTCTTCCCCCAATTTGTTGAATTAATGCAACTATTTGGTGGTCTGTGATCTAACCCAAATGGCTGAAAAAAGTCTAAGTTAAAAAGCCCACCTTAAAACAAGTGACCTCACTAATTCAGGGCTCTGCCTTCTGCACAGCCGTACTAACCAAGCCAACCGCAAAGCGATTGGAGCAACTGCCTCCGAGTACAAGCACAGTCTGACTGTGTCCTCAAAGGAAAATTAAACCAAGACCTGGCCATTTTGTAACCCTTCCTGAGTTGTTCAGAGAAAGCCATGCCTCTGTTTCTCTTAACCTCTCCCCAACGTTTCAAGCCTTCTACCATTTATGGTTTTATTCTACAAATGAATAGAGAAGCCTTTAGTTGGCTGCAGTTACAGGTGAAGAGCATTTCTAAGGCACAGTGAAGAGAAAGCAGAGCAAGAGCACTGCTTGGGCAACTGCAGGTGTAATGTTGTTGCACCTGACGCAAATTCCAGATCAAAGATATTGGAACCGGCTGGACCAGCCTGTTCAATGCCTTTGTGTGGCCCACAGCAGAAGACTGAGGCTCTGAAGATCATCAAGAAAAGGTCTGACCCTTGGAGCAGTGATCATGAACGACACTGAAACCAACCCAGACACTATCAGAATCTCCAGTTCACCACCCTGGGACAGCAGTTCACTACCCTGAGGATCATTTTGGTTGACAGAATGGGGAGAGGGTGGTATATGACAAGCCCAGAGGAGGAGTTGCTCTAGTAGAAAAAAGCAGAGTAAATTAAGCAGGACAGAAGAGATGTGTGTGGGCTCCAACCACTGTGACTTACGAACAGCAGCTTATTTTCATTACTTCCTACCAAGCATGATTACAAGGCTAACTTATTAGTCAACATCTCATTTTAATCTACTTACAGAATGCTAAAAATCGTGCAGTATTTAAGTCTATTTGCCAATATGCAGCACAATCTATATCCGATTTCACCTGAATACTGGTTTTGGATAATATATTAAAGACTCATCAAGTCTACTAAAAATACAGCACAGAGGTATTTCTTGCTGAGGTTACCTCCTCTCAACAACATACAGACATTACTTTTGCTCGCTTTGACTTGAAGCTTAATCTAATATTTTCACATTCCTTTCTAGTAAACATTGGCATTTATCAGAAAAAAAATATGCAAGTGCTCAGATAGGTATCTAGGAGGAAGAAATTTTAAATTGTCTTCTCCTAAAGGATCCTAAACATTAAATATGACACCATTTACTATGCCTTACCTTGCTCAGGACCCTCTTCATCACTGCAACTATTGATTGACCAGCTTGTTGAGACATGGCCAGTCCACCCAGGGTGCTTCCCCACGTCAACGGACCAGCCAAGAGACAGCAAGAACTCCAGGAAGTGTGGCTGAACAATTCTGGAAGACTCCATGTTCTTCAGGATCTGAAACAACCAGCAGCACCATGGTAGGTACAGGAGACTCCAGGAAGCCACTCTCTTCCTCCCCACTTTTTTGAATTAAAATTTTCTGTCACCAACATGGTTTTGCCCAAATATAGCTATTCAGCAAGCATGGAATCCCAGACTTTCTACATGGACACTACTCTCTGCTGCCCAGCAACCTCCCAACCTGCTTGGCAATTTGATCAACTTGTCTTGCTGCCATCATTACCAAAGCCTGTAAAATAGTTACTCCAACTGCTAGAAATTGCAATTTTGGATTTATCCACTCATCAGGGATAAACCATGGAACTGTTCAGCACAGAATCTGCATTAGCACCAAATGTAACATGAGAATTTTCTGGACAATTTTCACTACTAAACTGAGGTGAAATTTTAGGAGAAGGGTATTTTATCACTACTCACCTGTATGTGACATACAGCAATTCTGAAGGCAGGCCTCACATTAAATTATGAAACAGATTTTGCAAAACAATTTTCAGCAGGATTAGCATGTGCTTTAATCAAACATCACACTGTACTGTTCACTTTAAACCTTAATCCTACCTCTTAGAAAGATCTGGGATTTTTCTACATCCAAAGGCGATTTTTACCCCATTGTGACCAAGTGAAAGTTGACACCTTCACCAAACGTCAGGCAGGGAGACATGGATGATCAATGATTTGGTCTACCAGAACCATTGGGATTTATGGAACAGACAACACTGTGCAACACATCCATCCTTCCTGGGCCACATGAGAATTTGTTCTGTGGCAGAAGCATCTTTGATTTTGGTTTGTGTGGGGGCAGTACACTGAGATGCAAGCTCCAGCCGAGAAGAAACTGCAGGGACAGGCGCTGGAAGGAAAGCTTCCACACAGGAGGCTCCTCGTATCCACACGGTGCTTGCACCCCACCCTAATGCCCTGTACAATATTCATCAGTGACTAGACACACTGCATTGATATATTACTATTACTCGTTACTGAGCACATTGAAGTCATGGCTATCTTCAGAATGAATCAAGGTAAGTGCAGTTTAGAAGAGAATTTCAGAAAATAGGCAAGCTCAGGTTTTATACAACTACACAGTTTTGCATCTAAGCTCATTCAGAAAAAGAATTTACAGTAAAGTAAGGACAAGGGGGTATTTTCAAAGGACATTTAATGATGTGAAGTATAATGATTTTGTAAAAAGTGTGCAGGCAGTTTCATTACTCTCTATAAATAAATGCTACAAGACCTTTCTCAACTGTAAAAGCCTACCACCACAGAAGAATATTTGGGCCTAATGCAACAACCAGCAGGCTAGATACCACCATTCTGGGCTGTGCAGCATCAGATGAAACACAGCTGACATCACTCCCTGCAAAATGACAGTGGGTCACCTCTCAGAATGGAATACGGTCCTGAGTTGAAATGGCATGAACGCACACACACAGAGAGGGCTCAGTAGGACCAGGCATCCAGCCCTGCTCAATGCAGAAACCATGTCACAACTTGGCTTTGATCTCCTTTTCTCTTCATTGTTAATATTGAAAACAAAACAGGACAGAAATAAGTCACAGGTCTTTTCAAAGGTGGAAGTAGTATCAGTATCTCACTCAGCTCAGGTCCACAGAGATAAGTGTGTTATTAACCTGACTGCCACTGTGACTTTGCACAACCCAAAAGGCTTAGGAATCACAGTAAGATGTCCAGGGATCCTGAAGCTGGAGTGGCATCTTTATACTGTGTCTAAGTATGTTCAGCATCTCCCAAATACAAGCTTTTTTTTATATCTACATGGCAAAACCCATGCTAATTGGGTTTCCAAAGGCTGGCAAGTTCTGCGGGACTAAGAAATCTCATCTGTCTAAATCCGTAAGAGCATATACGCATCAGATGGGAAAAAAGCATTCTGCTAGCTCAGCAAGAGCACATTTCAGCTGGAAGGCAAACCTCGTATATCTTGTTTTGTAGCTGACTTTGGAGATGGAAAGACTGTGTACTGGCTACTCTGAACTTCAGCTTGACAACTCACAAACAGCATGATCCCACTTTCAAGGATTAGCGTATTCCATGCAGAAGTAGAAGATGCTACAGTGTTCCGTCAACTGCATGTTCCACAGTAACATGAGGAGATGGCACAATAATTTATTATGGAAGCTATGCTCCTACTCTCTACTATAAGAATTATGAATGGAATGAGGAGAATGTACTACAGAAACAACCTTTTTTAATGAGCCCATAAGCCGTCTTAGTGAGTTTCTAGGTCGCAGTCTAAAGAAGTCACGATTTAGATCTCACACATTAACCTGATTAACCTAATTGCATTTGAATGTAAATAGTATAACGTAAAGACTTACAAAGCCATAATACTTTCTTACTTGCAGAAAGTTTTTCATTCCTTTAACATGTGTTTAACATTAGAATCAAACCAAACTACCTGGACATCGCACATTGCTGGAACAAACTGCAACCTCCCCTGCAAGCTGAGCCAACAAATCTGAAATGCATTTCTGATATGAATCTTTGAACTCTATAAATGAGGATAATAAGGGCAAATCAGATAACAAAAATACTATTAATATTTAATGTATTTTATATATTTAAAATATATATTAAAAAGATGCTGCAACAATCCTACATGTGGGTAATGTACTTCAACCTACAGATGAAAAGAGTACCAGTGATTTGTTACAGCTCACACTTAAAGCCCAGAACCCCTCGTTCTGATACTCCACTCCAGTCATTAGCCATGATGCTTTATTCTCTTGAGGAATACTAGAAACAAGACATTATAGGCTAGTTGGCACTCTACTCTTTCACTTACCTCCTGGCTTGTTTTCTGGCCTGCCTTCATGTAGAAAATGAAAACAGTATCAAAAGGACGACATGGTAGTAAATCCAAGTAGCCAAGGTCATCAAAAAAACCAGGAAGAGCAGAGTCAAGTGCAATCAGGTGAGGAGGTAGACGACTGTTAGCAGGTTCCTATCCAACAGACAAGAGTTCACCAGGTTAAAAAAAAAAATCTTTCCTAACTGAAAAGGTCTTTATGGCGTCAATAATAATCCATTAAAATATAAAAAGACAATTTCTCATTTCTCCTAAGCAAAAAATCATACACAAATTTCTGATGCAATAATCCTGTTACTGTAAATGAGTAACAGCAAGCATAACAGTTTGACAATTTTTTTGCATTCTACTCTCATGAAATAAAAATGGTGTTTTGCCAGAAAAACAAAAATAGCATTTTACTCAAAAGGAGTGTTAGCTACCACAACAAAAGCAGCAGATACTTTCAAAATATCACAACTATACATAGCCACTGTGTAGTTTTATATTATTAACTTATATACCAATGATATGTAAAATACTAAGCACTTTTAGACATAATTTTTGCAAAAGCTCCATCACCTACTTTTGTTGACTGTTTTCTGGAAGGAAACATAACAAACAAAACGAGGAATCCACAAGTAAGGGGCAAAATTCCAAATTAAGACTATGGATCATCTCTATAAACTGTTGTTATTTTAATTTTAAAAAAAGAAAGCTGTACAACCTGTATGTACTCCCAAGTGTGTACATATGATTAAACCACTTCAGCACAATCATCTCTGGAGCAGAACTTCTAAGACAGTCATATTTCAGAAACTATTAAAGTACCACCCCAAAACCTAATTCGAACTGAAAGAATGGTTTCAAGTATCACAGAATGGTTGGGGTTGGAAGGGACCTCTGAAGATCATCTGGTCCAACCCCCCTGCCAAGGCAGGATCACCTAGGGCAGGTTGCACAGGAACGCATCCAGTTGGATTTTGAAGGTCTCAAGAGAGGGAGACTCCACAACCTCTCTGGGCAGCCTGTGCCAGTGCTCCGTCACCCTCACAGTAAAGAAGTTTTTCCTCATGTTGAGGTGGAACTTCCAGTGCTGCAGTTTGTGCCCATTGCCCCTCGTCCTGTCACTGAGCACTACTGAAAAGAGACTGGCTCCATCCTCCTGACAGCCACCCTTCAGACATTTATAGACATTGATAAGGTCCCCTCTCAGCCTTCTCTTCTCCAGACTAAACAGCCCCAGATCTCTCAACCTTTCCTCATACGAGAGATGTTACAGTCCCTTTATCATCCTCGTAGCCCTCCACTGGACTCTGTCCAAAAGTTCCCTCTTTGTCTCTCTTGAACTGGGGAGCCCAGAACTGGACACAATACTCCAGATGAGGCCTTGCCAGTGCAGAGTAGAGGGGGAGGATAACCTCTCTTGAGCTGCTGGTCACACTCTTCTTAATGCACCCCAGGATACCATTGGCCCTCTTGGCCACCAGGGCACATTGCTGTCCCATGGATAACTTACTGTCTACCAGGACTCCAAGGTCCTCCTCCATGGAGCTGCTTTCCAGCAGGTCAACCCCTAACCTGTACTGGCGCATGGGGTTCTTCCTCCCCAGGAGCAGAACTCTACACTTGTCCTTGTTAAATTTCGTGAGGTTCCCCTCTGCCCAACTCTCCAGTCCGTCCAGATCCCGCTGAATGGCAGCACAGCCTCCTGGTGTATCAGCCACTCCTCCCAGTTTTGTATCATCAGCAAACTTGCTGAGGGTACATTCCAACCCTTCATCTAGGTCACTGATGAAGATGTTGAACAAAACCGGACCCAGTACTGATCCGTGGGGAACACCACTAGCTACAGGCCTCCAACTGGACTCTGCGCCGCTGACCACATTCACAAGTACGAACATGTGAACGTGACAGCTTACGTATCCACTGCAAAAATAGACAGCCACCTATTCAGAGCATGTTCAACTTGAGGCACGGCCTTTCACAACTCTGCTCTCAATCCTGGAAGACTGGAATCCATCACTTTATTTGATTAGACTACAGCTTAACAGTAGTTGGAATTACACAGCAGATCTTCCACTAACAAAAGTTCAGTTTTCTTCTTTTGCCAAGTCAGACCATATGGCTACTGAGGGCATTTGCGCAACACTAAGAAGTATCAGGTCACCTTCAATGCCTCTAGTGAGAGAAACCCGAAGTGAGAGAGGAACAGGCGTGCTGTCTGGAACTCCTGTGCTGGTGGTGGGGGCTTACACTCCGTGATCGGATCAGGAAAGCTCTTCTTCCGCCACTCCTCTTCACTTTTCTGATCTATGGAAGTCTCAAAAATAATCTGCTGGGCCATGCCATTCCTCAGCTTCTCGTGTCGCTCTTCGAGCTGGAAAACATTGCATGAAATGCTGATTCCACCAAGATCACTAAGAAAAAAGCTCCACCATTCAGGACAACTGTTAAGTCACAGGTAAAGCAGCAGCTGCAACTCCACCACCAGGATGTTTACTAAAGCATCAACAGACCTTGCAACATTACAAAGTGAACATCTAAACATCCTGTTTGCATGGGAGTGCTGTTGCAAGTTTATGTATCCAATATCAGCTACAGCTTCTCCCTTTTAAGTGAACAGAAAATAAAACACATCTGGCACTGTGAAACTTTAAAATGTTTTTGAGACACACAACCCCTTCCTCCCCCAGGAGGTCTCAAAGCCCCTTCCATTTCCCCAGAAGCAGCAACAAAATGCAAGTCATTGCCTCCTAACGATACCAGGATATTAGGATCTGTAATAAAACATGTTGAGCAGTGCCTCCCAAAAACACATCCAAGGCATTGCCATCTTCCTGGAGAAGTGCACAGATTTAATTAGTTTGCAGAGGTTGTTATTCCATTAATAAGAAATTAGTCAAGCTAAAGCAGAAAACTATTTACAGGAAGACACTAGTGTATGATTCATGAACAGACAAAAAATAAAATTAAGACAAGAACAAAATTAAGTCAGAGACTAAGAGTTACTTACTTCCTCATTCACAATTTCATGTAGATCAGGAATGCTCAAGTCAGCTTTCACAAATGGGATCTTGTCCACTTCTTCAGGAAAAGGACGGTGCTTCACACTGTATTTCAATCCAACATCATTTTTAGGAGCTGGTCGAGGTTCTGGTACAAAAGTCTGGCAAAAAAAGCGGGATAGTTTTTACACTCAAGGCATCATACCACTAGACAATACTTTATTATAATAGATGGAAAACGTTCCCTCCCCCCTCACCACCAGAAGTACACTAATCCATTAGTGAGAGGCATCATTAAAAAACATTGATTAAGTACTTTAAACTAATAGGCTTGTATGAAAAATGTGGCTGTAAATTTTTAGAGATGTAGTTCTGCCCATTTTGGTGGCTGTACTCCTGGAACCTATGAACCCCACCTACCACCTAACCTCTATGCAGTTGCAAATATCAATAAAAATGGCAAGCTGACATGGCAACATCTTATTTTCAGCCCATTCTAACTGTGTAGAGCAAAAGCTACCAACTGCCTGAGAAGCCTCCATTTTAACCCTGCTGACTATGATGATCACAGCAAGCCAGGCTGAGAAGTGCTAGAAGAGAACAGCAGCAATGCTGTGGGTCAGGAGGGAGATGCGCTGACAGAATATCAAAAGGGCTTGCATAATGTATCATAACACAATTTTGACACTGTTTCTACACTACATTCTAAACTGTTGGTATGTAATTCAAAACTTGAAGCTACCCAGGAAAGCAACAAAAGATCTAAGCGCAGGTTTGCAGGTGCATAAGGTCTGAGCAAGACCTTTAATTACATCCTAAGTGCTGCTTTATACATTTATTTACTATCAATTATGCTTCAAAAGGGCAAAACTGTTAACATTAAAGTTAAAGAATGCCTTTAAATGGGAAAAGTTCCCATAAAACTGGTGAGGAGGTCATCAGCCAGGACATGACTTCTCCTCTGGTGTTGGAGGTAGCACACTTGGACTGACGCCAGCAAAATGGCTCAGCTTCAGTGACAGCACAGCTCCAAGGGCGTGATGCGGAGGGTCTTCCCAACGGCTGCTGTGCAGAGACCAGATTCATCTAAATGTGAACATGACAGCTGAGACTGACAGGCCCTCAGTTCAGCTACATTATTATTTCCTTTATTTTACTGAGGGGCATGTGAAGAGCTTGAAGATTTGAAGTTCACAAACAGAAATTTTGGTAACAGAAGGACATGCCCCACTAGACAAATGCAGTAAGAGATTTTACTGTAAAATGAGATTGAGGTATTTCTCCTCCACTGTTCCTCTCCAGAGTTCACCTAGATAATTTTTTTTCACAGCAGATTTACAGCCAACTTTTGCAACATTGGGCTTTGTAGCTTGAACAGCATCTCAATTCTATACCTCCAGATTTCCCTCCCTCTGCTGCAAGGGCTTTGCCTGACATCCTGAAATCAGCACCAACACTCATGTCTAGACACTAAATACACTGTCCATTGCTCCATCACCTCAGAAGATGCTTTCAGGGAAGAAAGAAAAAAAAAAAAGGAAAATGCCCCTTCCCCTTATACAAGTCTAGAAGACAACAGTACTTTCACAGCCTGTATTTAATATTAATCACAAGTTGTAAAGAGTCACCAGAGATGTGTCACATTACCTACAGCTAAAGGCCCCGTGGCTCAGCCTTAATGTATAATCACCAGCTCTGTGGGGCTGTCTCACATTAGTGGAATTTCTGCTGAACATCTCTAAGTTAAAGATTTCTTTACGGGCTTTGATAGAGACCTTTTGATTTGCTTTAGCTCCTCTTGGCAAAAGACAGAGTTGCTGGGCCCATGCAAATCTTCCAGATGTCCCACG